GGGCCTACATTTTGTTGACATACTACATCTTGGAGATCCTGTGTTCGGTACATGTTTTAGGCCTGTACCTGACTGGCATCTCTCCACTAATTCTACATCTATTTGATGCCCTGTGTTTAGTACAGGTGTGGGGCCTATATCTCTTGACAAACTCTACATCTGACTTACAGCTCTTCACTAATTCTACATCTATTGATGCCCTGTGTTCTGTACAAATGTATCTGACTGGCATCTCTCCACCAATTCTACATCTATTGAGGCCCTGTGTTCTGTACAAATGTATCTGACTGGCATCTCTCCACTAATTCACATCTATTGAGGCCCTGTGTTCTGCACAGATGTGGGGCCTAAATCTTTACACCTGTATTTTACAGTTTTTCTACGAAACTTAACATCTGTAGGCCCTGTGTTCTGTACAGATGTAGGGCTGAAATCTGTCTGGAAACTACATCTGCCTCCCCTGGCATCTGTGTATATATACCCAGTATCCCACCACCCTTTGACGGCAGTACACAGATGTCTTTTGCATCTGTATGCTGCTCCCCCTCCCCTGGGATCTGTGTTGGCCTATATTATGCAGGCTGAAGTAACACCTCACAGCTATAAATACACACACTTTCAACCATGCCAGGCAAATCTGTACACCTCCACAGACAAATGGTGAGAGTCTTGTCCTCGGCAGAAGTTGGTTGGTGTGACTTGGGGAAGGTCAGGAGGTCATGTCTTCTACTACATACAATTCTAAGCTGCTTCATCCATGACTTGACCATCACATTGGTAGGGCAGGGAGTGACCAGGGCTACGGTTAGTTTGGATGCAGCTCCCAGACTTGGTATCCATATAAAAAGGGTAGGAAATGGCCAGACGATGCTTAGGGCTGCTTTGACTTTACCTCGGCCCTAGGTTTGGGGATCAGGGTTAGACTCTGCATCCAGACTTGACCACATTGGTAGGAAGTGGTGGGGTCAGTATAAACTTGACCTCCACATGGGCAGGTTTGGGAATGACCATAGGCCATTTCAAGATGTTGTCACCTTACCTACACCATAGTAGGAAAAGGACTGACAGGGATTAATATCAGATGTTATGTCTGGTCTTGACCCCCAGGGTAACTGGGGTTCAGTATTGGACACTGCATCTGGACTGGACCAGACTGGTAGGGAGTGTTAGGGTCAGTATAGACTTAATCTCCACATGGGTAGGATAGGGAATGACCAGAAGCGAGTTTTGGCTGTTGCCACCTTTAAGTAGAAGTACTGACAAGGATCATTATTAGATGTTGTGTCAGGGTTCAGTATTGGACACTGCATGGGTGGACTCCAACACACTAGGGTAGAGTGTGACTGGGGATGGGGAGGAAGGGGGCTGCATTTTGGAGACTCAACAAGAATCAGTTTTTGTATGGTTTGCTGCTTGACCTTTACTTACTCAGATAGAAAAATTACCAAGGGTCAGTATTGGTGTACCCCGGGTTGCTGCTTCAAGATTTGACCTTTACTTAGCAATTATCTACGATTTCGCTGAAGAATTTGTCAACAATACTGTACAAGCATTCAAGGGCCCCCAGATGGGGCCTCTACTCCATGAATGAAAAGGGAAATTTAAATACTCAATTCTCCTGTGTTGGGTCAAAGGTTGGGCTGTCTGAGTTCGGATGTCATGTGTAGTGTAGGTTGAATTTCTTATCTACCTGGCGAACTTACCTGTCAGTTTTTCACCTGGTGTACAGAGGAAGGTGAGAAGTGTGGTGGGGATTAGCCGGGGTTGTGTGTATAAGTGCCTCTATCATGTTCTCCGTCTTCAGGCCAGCTTTTTAAGGCCAATAAATGATTTCAGTTTTAATGCAAGCCTTGTCAAAGCCTGCTGAAGTATTGATTGATTATTGTTGGTGTTTCAGTATTATTTCAGAATTGTTTCTTTTCTTCCACTTTATTTGTTTTCATACCACAGTTTTACCTGTCTAAACTGGACTCTGTGTTATCCAGAATCCTGCATATAATAAAGAACCTGAATAAAAAAATGCTGTATAATCAGAAACTTTTATGAAACAGACCTTCATCTAGGGCCCATTACAGCATGGGTGCACTATAAATACATTTCTACTTCAGTTTGAACCTCTGCATCAGAAAACCTGCATCCCACAGACCCTCATCTGAGGCCAACAATACAATATACAAACATCAACAGACCCTCATCTGAGGCCAACAATACAATATACAAACATCAACAGACCCTCATCTGAGGCCAACAATACAATATACAAACATCCACAGACCCTCATCTGAGGCCAACAATACAATATACAAACATCCACAGACCCTCATCTGAGGCCAACAATACAATATACAAACATCAACAGACCCTCATCTGAGGCCAACAATACAATATACAAACATCAACAGACCCTCATCTGAGGCCAACAATACAATATACAAACATCAACAGACCCTCATCTGAGGCCAACAATACAATATACAAACATCAACAGACCCTCATCTGAGGCCAACAATACAATATACAAACATCAACAGACCCTCATCTGAGGCCAACAATACAATATACAAACATCAACAGACCCTCATCTGAGGCCAACAATACAATATACAAACAT